TGTCTGAGGACCTGTTCCGTTCCATTTCCTAGGAATGATTTACCTTTAATATTATCTGTTTATTTTGCTACATTATTCTTTCTTAGAGCAAAGCGCAAGGATGTTCTTACCAAGACCAGAGAAAGCGGTGAAGGAGAGGTCTCCCTCCACACTTGGCAGTCAGGTTCTGACCCAGTATTTTAAGGCCATTTCCTTCACCCACCTATACTTACAAGGAAGGAAGTTGCACTCAAAGAGTTTCGCCTTTGACCTCAGGAATTTTACAGAAGCAGTACTTTTTTAAAGAATATAACTATTTCGTAGAATTAAGGATTAGACTAATTAAAGATATATATTGAGCTCTAATATGACCCAAGTACTCTGCTAAACACTGGTGATAAAACGGTGAAGTAGACATTACTCCATCCCTCATGGAGTTTACATTCAATGAGAGGAAATAGCCAACAAAGAGTAAATAGGCAAAATAGTTGGACCTTGTGATAAGGTGGAAGAGAACAGAGGTTTGAATTTTAGGCCTGGTGCTTAGGTGCTTAGACTTTCTGCATGGGTGATATTTAAACCGAACTTTTTGGATCATTATCGGAATATGAACTTGGAATATTATAGGAACGTAAGCTCAGTGTAGCCTGTCATGGTGATTGAGCAGAGGAGAGTGAGAGGAAGTGAAATTAGAGATGTGGACGTGGGACCAGATTTTGTAGTGCTTTGGACTTAATCTGATTATACTGTTATTAGCATTTTCTTAAACTGCTAAATACTAAGGCGTATGTTTCCCTCGAAACATTTTATGTATTGACTGTATAATTATGGAAATCAGAAAATTAACATACTGTTTTTAAATATACAGGCTTTTTTTTAGATTTTGGCAATTCTCTCAATAATACCCGTTGCAGCAAAAGAATATCCAAAATTGTCATGTCTCTAGGCTCCTTTAGTTTGGGAAATAGTTGTCTCAGCTAGTCATAATTTGATCAAAATCAGTTTTTCTTTTTTCCTCTTAGAATTAACATTCTTTACCATAAGAGTCTATAATCCTTTCCTCCCAGGTTCTGTCATTTGAGCTGGATGGTAATTACCCTGAGGGTCCAATCTCTTAAATATCAGGCAGTTACCCGAAAGAGGCCTTATTATTATTATTATTTATTTTTTAACGGCTACAGCACCTGGTATACCTAGGTGGTCTCCCATCCAAGTACTAACCTAGGAGATCAGACGAGACCAGGCACGATCAGGGTGGTATGGCTGTAGATTAGAGAGGCATTATTTTCATCGAACTAGAATCCCCTTCCTCAATTTAACGTTCCTTGACTAAATTATATTAAAGGAAAAATAGCTAACTTCTGCTATTCTTCAGTGTAGCTAACCTCTTAGGTTGTATGTTCTTTAATCTGCTCCCTAAATTGTAGGAATCCAGTATGCCATTTGATAGAAGGTGGCTAGCCTTCATTCGTGTTTTCTAAAGATAACAAATTAGGCAGTATTTTAAAACACTTCAGAGCAGATTCAGTGACTTTGTAATGATAAAATTTTGCATGTTTTCAGTGATTTAGGGATATACACGCTATAGAAATTATTTAAGTACGATAAAATGTTGAAACCTGATATAGCTGAACAATCATCAAAGGATAGAAAAACAGCCCCATTCCACAGACGCCCGGCTAGCTCAGTCGGTAGAGCATGGGACTCTTAATCCCAGGGTCGTGGGTTCGAGCCCCACGTTGGGCGTAAACATTGATTTTTTTTTTTTTTTTTTCCGTTCTCTGAAGGAATCTTATTTTAAGGTTTTTCCGAAATATTATTACCAAGGAGTGTTCTTTAAACCGCATTAATTTAAATAATTTTGATATTAACCAGATCTTTGGAAAAAAGACTTCATTTTGTAAACAAGTCTCAAACTACGGTTGCGCACTTAAAAGCACATGTTCCTCTTCCTTTCTGTACTCCCTAACTTCTTTATTAAAAGCAGAGGCAATTGAAAGTCTACTGTTTAAAGTTGAGACTTGTTTTCCGTGTTAAAATGCATAGTTGCTGGTAGAGGGCAATTTTGCTATTATCAAAACAAAATATGATCCCCGATTTTGGCAGCTTTTTCCCAAATTTAAGAGATCCTATGTAAAAGCAGCTGGGGAGGCTGGAGGATTTCGGAGAAAATGTGTCTTCCTTTTTTATTTTATTTTTTCTTACCTTCATCGTAGGGCTTGCCCTAGGATAGGGTGTAGGTAGCGAAATATCCCGTGGAGAATATATATTGAGAAATGTTTCTTTCTGTGTCAGATCTGTACAACCAGAATAGAATATACAGCAAGTTTTCTCCCATTGTTCTTAGGACTACGTTTGATCTATCCATCCAATTGGATAGCTATGAGGAAGCTAATATTCTGGTAAAGGTGAGGCTGAAACAGGAACACGAACTGAAATGTGAAAATTCGGTGGGCAATTAAATATATGCAGAAGGTGAGATTTTTGCCTTCTTCACGGAGAATTTTGAATTATTCAAAAAGAGAACATCCACACACACCTGTACCACCACATCCAGGCACGTCCCAGGATCCCACTCACCAGACCACATAGGTGAACTATCCATGCAGCCACCTAACGCCAACCTTATCTAAAGCACTAGTTCCTATACCTCTGTTATCCACCAGCTTCCCTCCCACTAAACTACCAATTTTTCTCTTCTTGTTTTCTTTAACGTGCAAACATGCTGTTATTTTTCTATCTTAAAACAAAAATTTGTTTCCATTCACGCTACCATTCTATTTCTCTGTTCCCCTTTGGAGCAAGTCACCCAGTCGCCTACCTTCACCATACCTCTCCTCACACCTCTTAACTATGTCAACGCCCCTCAGCCATACCAAAAAATCACTTATAGATGAACAATTTTGATGTATTACTCATTGTAGCAAGGGAGAACTGTGGGATGTTTCAGTAAGAGAGTGATACAAAGAACCTACTATAGGATTTGGGCTTCAAGTAATTTTGGGGAGGGTCCAAGGAAGTGAGGGCTCCTTCACGACTGGGTGTTCTCAGAAGACCAAGGCAATTCTTTGACTAATAAATCTTATCTATAGGGAGAGCAGACTAAAGAAAGGATAAAACTGAAATTAGTAAAGTAACAGCCACTCAGTAAGATGTTTGGTATTGAGTTGGAGAGTGACCAACTTGTCTAAAGTGGATGTTCTGTGAGATGCCAATCCCAAGTGCTAGGCCTTCAGCCCTTCTGACTAACCCACTATAAATTGACCGTCAATCGTAGTTTCCCACAAACCCTCTCCTCAGTTTTGATAATTTCCTAGAACAGCTGACAGAATTCAGGAAAACAGTTTACTATTTCTAGTTTATTATAAAGGACGTAACTCAGGAAGAGTCAAAGATAAGCAATGCATAACGAGCTTCCGTGCCCTCTTCTGGAATGCCACCTCCTAGCACACCTGGATGCATTAACTGTCATGAAAGCTCTCTGAAACCTGTAGTTTAGGGATTTTTTGAAGGCTTCACCATGTAGTATGATAGATTAACTCGGTCTCTAGCGACTCTCCTATCCCTGGATGACATAGGGTAGGGCTGAAAGTTCTAAGCTTCTAATCAGGGCTTGGTCTTTCTGGTGACTAGCCTTGATCATGAAGCTACTCAGGAGCCCACCAAAAGTTGCCTCATTACAACAAAAGACACTCCTATTACCCAGGAAATTCCAAAGGATTTAGGAACGCTGTATAAGATGCTCCTAGTACCCCTATCATTCAGGAAATCATAAGGGTTTTAGGAACTCTGAGTTAGGAACCAGGTAGAGACCAAATATATTCCTTATTACATCACACTTGCCTGATTTGTCTTTTTTTAAATCACTAAGCAGTGAGCCGAACCCTAACCATCCTATTCTGATTGGCAACTACACCACCACCCACTTTATCCTATTTTTCCCATAGAAGGTAACAATATGTCTCTTTAATCTTACCTACCCCCTTGGAATGTAGGTCCACAAAGGCAAGATTTTTGTCTCACTGATGTATCTCGAGCACCTAAATTAACATCTGGCAGATGTTCAATAAATGTGTTGAACCAGTAAATTTAAAAGGGTGTCTTAGTTTCCTACAGCTGCCATAACAAAGTACCACAAACTGGGTAGCAAAAAACTACCAAAATTTTTGTTTCAGGAATAAGGAGGCTAGAAGTTTGAAATCAAGCCATGGGCAGAGTCATGTTCTCAAAGGCTCTCTTAAAGAATCTGTTCTATGCTTCTCTTAGCTTTCTGGTGTCACCAACAATCCTTGGATGTTCCTTAGCTTGCAGCTGCATAACTCCAATCTTTCCTTCAGTTTTAACATCCCTGTGTATCTCTGTTGCACATGGCATTTTCGTCTTAAAAGGACACCAGTCATATTAGGCCCCACCCCAATGATCTCATCTTAATTTGATTACATTTGCAAAGACTCTATTTCCAAATAAGGTCACATTTACATGTAGTGGGGGTTAGGACTTCAACATATCTTTCTGGAGCACACAATTCAACTCTTAATAGTGGCTTCCATTTGCCAACCTCAGCCACCATGTATCTGCCACCTTATAGCTAGCTATAAAGCTCTATTTCAGTCCGAGATCCTATTTCTTATTCAAGGATAAAAAAACTTCTCATAATCCAAATTTGATAAAAACTAGAATTTTAGAAATTTTTTACTATTTAAAAAAAGACAATGTTAATAGTAAATCCATACAATTGACAATTTATAGTACATCTATTCCTGGCAACCCCACTAGGAGGTTTCAAAGTTAAGAAATAAAGGGGCTTTGTTTATTAATGGAGCTTATATTCCAGAAAGGAAAATAAAACCTGTATAGAAACAAATACAAGATGAAAACTGTAAGTGCCTCAGTTACAGTTAACGTGGTTATGAGAAAGATCACTACTTTGGGAGAAAGGGTGCTGTGGACGAGTGGTAGGAACAGAAGACAGAGAAATCTTACTTTTAAGAAAGAATGTATTAGGAAAATGGGTGGCAAAATTGAACTTCCATAGTTTTATTCACTGGCTTACCATTGTTTTCAAGTATTTCATAATCTAATCCTAAATTATAATTAGCAGTGCCTCATCTCAATGCCAAATGCTTTAAGATATTATGTAGAAAATCCAATCCATGTAGCCCAGACTAATCCTCAATTATTAAATTCTACTCATACTTCAGGAACAAGGTCAAAAAGCTCCTCTGAAGTTTTCCTTGACTCCCTGATCAGAATTACACCGGTAACAAGCAACTAATACCCCTTATGGCACCTATCACATTCTGGTTTTTATCATTGGTTGTGTACACATCCACTTCTGACCTGTGAAACCCGTAAGGATAAAAGTTCATGTCTTACTGTTGTACCATTAAGGTATCTAAAACTACACTAGGTACGTAGCAGACAGTCAATATATACTGAATGAGTCTTAGACCTGGGCCACTAAAATAGTAGTACACGGTGACAAAATAGAGCTAGAAGTATTTTAAAAAGTAAAACATGCACAACACACTAATATAAAAAATTCAATCCTTTCCTATTCTTAATGGCAGGAATAAGCTTTCGACTATTAGTTGGTATTAGTATCTTTAATACACAAAGCATATGGCAAAACTAGGAAGGATCCAGATAAGGTCAATTGAAATTATTAAACTATACGTAAGAATGGACTTGGGATATATAGTCCAGAAAATGTCTATTCCTACTCTGTCTTCAGAAATGAGTGTACATATGTATTATTCCCATCTTCAAAGGTACCTAGAAAGAATGAAACCAGCAAAATTTCATAAGAGGTAGTTCATTAAAAACAAATGAAGAAAAACAAACAAAAATTAAAATTAAACAATGACCAAGTACATATTTCAAAGAATCTCTGCCCTGAGAAGAGAAAAAGCAAACATGAAAAGATGAAAGATTTTATGATGTTCATAAAGCAGTTGCATAAAAAAACATAAAATGAAATATCTTTGCATAAAAATGAAATACCTTTTTTCTTAAAAATGTAGTTTTGTTCATAAAAGAAACTGTAGAGTTAGAAAGTGTACATTTCCACACTTTCTTTAACAAATGCTTAACTATACTACCAAACATTCTCAGTCCAAAGAGTCAACTACATTTCTGGAAAAGCACATTATTATAACATGGATACATGAACACCAAAACAAAAAGATTTTAAAAAACAGGCCTACGTTAATATTTGAAATAACTGGTAATGGTAATATTACTTATTCTTTAAATGAAATAGTTGCTGAAAATAATGAAACTATAATGGAGTCTCTAATGCCCAGGACAGATTATGTGAATTATGTTATTATTCTTTTTGAAAAATGAGCTGTGTAACAAAGTTCTAAAGCTAAATTGCGTTACTATATTTTGATATAACTACAACAAATTTCATAAGGATCAGCTACACAAGAGAAAAGTCAAGAGAATATTAATGCGAAGAGTAATTACATAAATGCTTTTACTTCCACAAAAGTCATCTCTAACAGCATCCTACATACTTTATACAATTTGTTTGTAATTGATCTGATATTTGAAATAAAGCAAAGTTGACTTTATTCAAACTTTTATTTCTCAGTGGAAAATGCTCTCTTCATCAGAGGTGGCTGAGCTTTTCCGACATCAAACATCATTTCCAAAGGTGGGTTATTAAGAGAACACCAATCAGGAATACGGCCTGTCTGATTATAATACTCCTTTGAGACTGAACGGCTCCCAAGTATGTCTTGCAGTGCTCCAAAAATAGCTCCTGTGTGGTAAAAATATTTTTATAGCTAAGATGAAAACTTTTACCAGAAAATTTTATGTACACGTGTATCTACTTCATTATATAATAGAAGAGAACAGGTAAAATTCAGCAATGCATGTTCACACTCTTCAAATTAATTCCAGTTAAGCTGTTCTATAGATTATATTTAAATAGGATAAGCTGTAACTCCTGTGTTAAAGCCCATTGAATTAAATAGCCTATAGTAGATTATAGTAAAAATGATAAGTATTACTGTCTCTAAAAGCAAGTGAGGTAGAGTGTGGTGGAAATAGTTCCAACTCTGTGTAAATACAGTAATAACCTTAGTTTTCTTTGCTGCAGCTCTAAGATTATAAGTCAATTAAAAAAAAGGCACTGTAAAACCCAAAAAGCATCATTATAATGCCCTAAGAATTTATGCTGAAGACCTCATAAAGACCGACAAGAAAGCCTTTAAAAAATAATTTAGTAACTAAATACATTGTCCTAGATCAAAATACATTCTGACAAAATTCTACTTTACTAGAAATACAACATCCATTTAAATCTCAATACTTTGTTTTTCTCTCTGAATGATCCTGATACCTATTAGCTGTAACTGCATCACTAAATACATATCCGAGTGTATACAAATATACACATCCATGACTGCTTTTCTCTTTAAGGTAGTCTCTTTATTAGGCTATTTCCTTATTTCAATAAAACTATCATTTTCTAAAACATTCAATGAACTCAGACAAAAAATAAAGTATAATTATAAAGAGATCAATTTTTATATGGCTTACAAACTAGTTTTAGAAGGAATTAAGACAAATGTTTTAAGGAATGGTAGCATCACTGGAATAAGTACACAACTATCATTATTATGAGGGTGACTTTACTTGGACAAAGTTTATTTTAAAAAATCAAAGTGCAAATGCCAAGACAAATACATATGTAATACTGAAAAATAATTTAAGGAAAAGTCAATGATCAAAGAAAGTTAATAGTTCTATTTATTAAGTGGGCAATTTTGAACACTGAATCATCTATTCTAATATATCCATTAGTTACACCATTCAGGAACCAATTACTATATAATCATTAAATTTTAAAAACTAAATTCTTACCTCCCAACCAGGCCACACAATTAGCCTTTGCAGGTGGAGTATGAATTCGGAATGTCTTGGTGCCAAGTGCTTTTCTATATTTTGGTTTTTCTACCAAATATCTTATTTCTGCAAGTAATCTGTGGAGAAATCCTGGCAACATAGATGTGCCACCTATGACTACCAAGTTCTCTGCTAGTTGCTTCCTGGTGTCTATTGGGCACTGTTATTAAAGAGAAAGAAAAAAAGGATTTATCCACAACTGTATAAATAATGCTTGACTAGGTTTAAGAAAATATACAGCTTATGCATTACAAATTGAATAGGTGATCATTTGTATTACTAAAGGGGCCACTGCAAGGTGTCTTTACCAAGGGAATTTTTCATGAAGTAAATATAACCACCATGATAATATTGCCAGATACTCATATAACTTTAAGATTTTAAAATCTAATAGTATAGAATTTTAAATTCCACAGGGCATATGGAGGTAGTATATGAGTATTCTCATTTTCAGGATGGAATGACTAAGTTGAGCAAACAACATAAGAAGAAATAACTTTTTTTACTTTTTTCAGTGAGGAAAGTGTGGAAACTTAATTTTTCTAAGGTGCTATCCTCATAGTACTATATCCAGAACAGTTGTCAAGTGGGAAGATAACATTCTTAGAAAAATTATGTTTCCACATCAGTTCTAAGAATTAGGAATGTTAAAGTCCTTCACTGATGTTACGTTTTTCAGAAAAGTCTCTGAGGGGAGCCCTATCTTCCAAGGAGCTCTATAATTCCACAGTCATTAAACAAAAGAGACATGTTATCATATACCCAATGGAATTTAAAATTCAATACTACACAAACCTGCATCTGATGAAACTACAAACGACATTAGGTATAAAATTAAAATCTGGTATCATTGCTATGGAAAAAATGCATGATATGGCCATAGTACTTATTACTCCTAGTTTTAAATGTTGTAGATACCATATCTTAGTGCCAAAGTAATACTAACTATAAAATTTAAAAGCTAAAAAATGTAACCAATGGCTAAAATAAAAATACAGAAAATAACATTTAAAAACTTTCTCTAAAGGGCTATAATCATAAATTTAAACATTTTACAAAATAAAAATACCTGCATAAGGGAATCCAATATTAAAGTGGCCACTGATTTCTCTTCGTTATCTTGTTCAAAAAGAATTTCCACAACTGAATCTCTGATGAGATTAAAAGCAGAGAGTGCTTTGTTGGCATCACATAATATGATGAAGAATATACCATTACTTCTATGGACATATTTTAAGTATTATGTTAATGTGGAATAATTATTAAAACACATGTTTGCATTTGTAAATAAAGAGAATAATAGTATCTGCCTTACAGGTGTTGAAGTGAGAATTCAATGAGTTAATAAAACAGTGTCTGGCACATAGAAAGCACTCCCTAAGTATTAGCTACAATTATTATTATAATATGTATAGATTTACATATATTTTGTCCAGTTATATCTCCTTAAACCTAATAACAGAAAAGAAGAATTCTGTAAAAGTCAGTAAGATTCAACAAGCAGATCAGTAGTAATACAACAAACTTAAAAACAAACAACATTCCTCTCCCCAAAATAATTTCTTTGTTTTTAAAAACTATACATGGCAAACATTATTAGTTGCCTAATAAAATACCCATTTTCCATTTTTGTTTGTTCTCAAATTAAAGGAACCTTATTTTTACATAAGGAAAATCTTTGTAGCAGTGGAATAGTTCTATATCTTTACTGTAGTGGCAGTGATTACAGAAATCTACCTGTGATAAAATTAAGCAGAACTATACATTACACCAATGCCGATTTACTGGTTTTAATACTGTACTATAGTTATGTAGCCACTGGGAGACAGTGGGTGAAGAATACATGGGATCTCTCTCTGTTATCTTTGCAACTTCCTGTGAATCTATAATTATTTGAAAATAAAAAAAAGAACTCCATGTTTAAGGTAGATACAATGCCTCACTCCAGTTGAAACTCTATTTATCAGCCTCCTTTGCAGATAGACATACCTAAGTACCAGACAATAAGATAGAGGCAGAAGCGGTACGTGGAACTTCTAAAAAGTTTCCTTAAAAAGAAGAGGAAGCACCTTTTCTTTCCCTTTCTAGGACTACTACCTTGAAAAACAGATGTAATCGTAGCTATAACTCTAGCAACCACACTGGACCTCAAGGAACAGGGTTATACCCCAAAGATGATAGCTAGAAAAATGTTTGGGTCTGTAATAGGAGCTGTCATACCACCTCTGGACTATCTTACTACAAACTCCTCTTAAATGAGACACAAATTTCTATCCTGTTGAAGCCACTATTTTCATGTTTGTGCAACTGGTACCCAAACTGAATCCTGATCAATGCAATGCAAAAGTAACTATACATATGGATATATAAACACTATTATTAAAAAAGTTGGAATCACACATGCATCCTATTTAAATTTTTTGAATCTTTTTCAAAACATAAAATTCTCTTCATGAGACTCAACTTACTTGCTAACTTTCTCCATTTCATCAGTAAAGTATACCGAAGTCTGTATTTCTTTGAACATTCATGGCTAGTCATCTACTTGCTGCTATGCTTGCTTGCTTCTGCTTCTTCCAGGTGAGTTAAATGGTAACTAAGGATCAATGTTCTTTTTCCAAATCTTTTACTAGTGGTTGATTTGATATTGAAATTATGTAATTTAACAATTACTACTTAACCAAGAAAAGATTAGGGTTGAAAATAAGTTGTGTTTTCTATGTGAACTGTGTTGAATGCTTTGGAAAGACAAAATAATTGTAAGGTCTGTTTATATGTTTAATACAACTGTAAAAATCTAGAAGAAAATATCTAGAGGGATTCTGTACCAAGAGTAATTCACAAATAACTAAGTTCTCACTGTATTTAAAAAAAAAAACCCTGGAAATCATAAATCATGAATTACTTTTTTATATAAATTTAACTTAGAACTCTAGAAGCAGACTTATCCTTAAAGAAGGGGTCTTGGAAAGAAATCTGGCAAATAAATACTTATTTATAAATTTTAAATTAAAATAAAATGTTTAGTATATGATTTTTAAAAAATGGTTCTTTCTTTTAAATGAACCTTCTGATTTACTACTAAACTGAACTGTATCTAATTAGAAGGTTTCAATGAAACTAGATTTTTTTGGGTAGGAAAAATATGTTAGCAAACAATTGTAAATTGGGTTTGGAAAGTGAGACATAGTGGCTTTTTTATTCTCAATGTACTTCTCTATTATTATGTAACCAAAAAGGTGCCATGTTAGTTGAATTTCCTTACACACTTATTTTCTTCTAGGCTCTATTAAACAATCAGGAAAAAATTTAAGTATTAATTTAGCGAATATAACTTATGTGAGATAAAATGTTAAAAAGTCACTACCAAAAAAAGTTACTTTCTCACTTTTTGCTCTCCCAACCTACCATCTTTATCTGTATATTTATGTTCATCTTTTCATATCTTAATATCTCAACCTCTATGTTAATTATCTCAAAATCTAATAGGATCTTCAATATTTGCATAATAATTCTTTTCTGTGTATCTTCTGATCTAATATTTTACAGATGGAACTTTTATAACACAAATTTTATAGTTTGGATATAAACAAAAATTATATTGTTGCCAATATAATTGTGTAAGTCCTGAATAACAACTTAAACTGCATTATCATTTAGAATAATCAAATAAATAATGAAAAGGTGAATTACTACTAACTGGTTGTAAAGATTCAGTATATTTGGAAGAATGAATTCTTTCAACAGAATTCAGCAAACTACGCCCTTCAAGCCAAATCCAGCCCATTGTTTTTGCAAATAAAGTTTTACTGGAACAAAAGCTCACTGGAGCCAGGCTCACTTATCTACATATTATCTATAGCTAATTTTGCACTCTAACTGAAGAGCTGAGTAGTTGTAACAGAGACCACATGGCCCACAGCCTAAGCTATTTATCATTTGTCTCTTTACAGAAAAAGTCTGCTGAACACTCTTTTAAAGTATCCTAATTTATTCTCCACCTCAAAAAATGGTTAGTTTCATAAATTAAATTAATTCTGAGCTACTCTGATGAATAAGAATAATTTTTAAAGTTTTATAAAATTAAAAATTGAATAATGAAATTAATCATGAATGACGAGGTTAAATGAAAAACATAATTGTTACTAATAATATTGAAGGATTACACAAATATTTTTTAAAAGACCAAAAATTTATTTTATTTCATTATTTTGCTCATAAAAATTAAGGTCTAACCTGATTGATCCAAGGACATGTAAAATCTTCTCTCCATCTAACGGGTAGTCAACATTTGGTGGTGGTGAGGGACGCTGAAATATAAATATTAAGAGCATAAGTATACAAGTGTACCTCTGAAAAAAAAATATACATTTATTTTTACTTACCTCAGTATTCCCATCAATATTAAATTTTGCTGCTTGGATTTTTAGTCCACGCTTCAGATCACTTACAAAGCAAGTGCGCACTTAAAGGAAAGAAAAGGAGGCTTAGTTATGGTTTGTGACTGAGTTAACGTTAAAACAATGTTATTCAAGTGAGCATGCTAATCACCCATTCATTCAAATTTTATAAACTATCCTTGTTTTAAATTAGATTATCAGAATTTATTCATGAATAAAACAACTTTTTCATTCACCAAGGAGTTGTGACATGTTGCGTGTTCATCTTCTATAAAACCACATTTCTTAGAAAACCACTTCTCAGGAAACTATTTTTCTTGATATTCCTTATATAAAGTATACCATAATAAAAATAAATTTTAGCATATAAAAATGTAATTATTCTAACTAAAGAGAACTTTTTTTTAATAAGATTGACTTATATCTCTATCTCAATCTTACATATCAATCTCTGATTCTTTTTTTAAAATCTTGATTAGTGAAAACCAACTAAATTTTGCTCTCCTTAGTTTATGGTTTTTGGCATGATTATATTTTTCCTCTTGGCATACCCCAATACCATCACTTTCCTTCTACTATATCACCTTTTTTTTGTTTTGCACTTTGAATATTTATTCTTTTAAAGATTATTTCTATTGCAAAGCACCTTTTACAAGCTGTTTCAAATTATTTTCAGAAATAAGGAATAAAACATTTTTTAAGTAGAGACAAAATTGATGTTCAATGCACAAAATCTTATGACTTAATTACTTACAAAGCATGTTAGTTAAATATATATTTATATATTAGTTATTTTTATTCACTAATTCAAAATATATTTAAGAATCTACAATATGCTAATATTCTAGATAGTAAGCAAGGTGCTCGAGTTACTTACATATTTTATATTTTATTCAAGTCCTTTGAACTATATAAGCAAGTTAAATGCCTAGCCTACAAGATATTATATACTTGGCAGAAGAAAGTGCCCTTCTTTAACCTATTTCCCATTTAGAAAAAAAAGTGCAGCTCGCTGCCAGAGTTAATTTAATTTACACGAACACAATCTTTGAAGCAAATCTGACTGGTTTTCAATGTGAAAATAAAATACAAAAACTGTTCTTGGAGTTATTTCTAAACAGAACTTGTCTTTAATCCTAATGTAACAGAAATTATGCAATTATCAATATTTAATAATTTTGTGTGTGTGTGGTAAATTTCAAAGGCACGGAATGACACAAAGTGGAAAACATCATTCTACACAAAAATATCAAGTTTCTCTCTGGATCTTCTTGCTATCATTTGTTTGCATCATTTGTTTTCAAAGACTATCAATATACTAGAGTGATGTGATAATAATAAAAGCAAGATATTTCGTGGCAAACTTTAGGGGTAAGGTTAGGACTGTAATCTCTGAGTTATTTTGGGATAAACGCTGCAGCCAAGTACTGCCAGAGAGCATTCTCAGGGCAAATGGGAAATGGGTTATAGAAATCAAATTCATTCACTGAATTAAAAATCCAAGAATAGATAAATTATACTTAAGAATTTAAAAATAATTTTTAAAAACTTAGGTAATTACATAAGTAACATAATGTGTGAGAAGAGGCATGTTGCATATTTGTTTTAATAGAAATGGCTTTCTAATGTACATATTATTCAATAATATACTTTTTCTGTTACTGCATTACGGACCTTTCAAATCAATACAACTAGTCCCTTCTTTCTAATAGTTACACAGTATTCCTTATTATGAAGTTATCAAATTTCATTCAACATTCCCCTCTTAGTTGGGATGCACACTTTCAATTTTAATAAATATACTAGATTGCTTTCTTAAAGATTAATCTTCAGTCCTTACTAATAGTAATATATATTTATCTTCCCACAATCTCACAAACGCTGGGTGTCCATATTTCAAATTTTTACCAATATGATGTGTTTCCCTGACAAATGGGAAAGTTAAACATCTTTTCACAAGTAAGAAGCTATAAGGAAAAAAACACTCTGAATAGTTAACAATTGTTATATCACGGGGGACAGCACTGGAAAAAGGGAAGGGAACCTATTATTTAACCTGAGATATTTCTGTATTATTTGAGATACTGCAGTAAGCATGTACAAAACTCTTTAATAATTGAAGAAATTTTAGGTAATTATACTGTATAAGTAAGCCATACAATATACAAAATAGCAAGAGCTATTTTGCAGTCCTAGCTCTAACTCTACCTTTTGTGAGACACTAAACAAATCATTTCATATTTCAGGGCCCCAACTATACCAGATTATCTCCAAGGTCCATTTAACTCTAAAATCCATTATTGTCTAATTCTCTATTAAATATTCTAGAATATTAATTTTACATAACACTCTCAGTATTGGAGAACACTGAATTATATTTTAAATGCTTTTCCTTTTAGTGAATCAAAATACCGGAACACTGAATTATATTTTAAATGCTTTTCCTTTTAGTGAATCAAAAATGCACTCTAGCAAAGGACAAGTAATATATCTTATTAAAATGAATCCAATATACTTTGGCTCCAAATGTAGAATTTCTGAAGTCAATAAAATGACTGACCTTATAAAAATGGATTTTCAAAGCCAGAGTAAAAAAACTACACAAAAAAACTAGTGGCTTTCTTAAGCAATTTAACTGTTATTTCATACTGTGGAAACTACTAATTCCCTATTAACCCTATATACCATATCTGCAATTGAGAAGTTTCTTCAATAACACATTGTAAATAAAGCCAAAAGCTTACATAAATCTGAAGAAAACTTAAAATTTTATTTATATTATTCCATAGCCTATATGTTAAATATTTCAGGATATTACATTATGAATTTAATATATTTTATACTTGTGTAAATATTTTTAAACACATGCCTCCAAACCAAGGATGGAAGGGACATAAATAGGAACTTAGTTTACCTTTAATGTCCTCTAAGACACCTTCTGGAATTGAACCTAAAACAGAAATTTTATTTAGAACTATATAACTTTAATAAGAAAAAAGTTTCTTAAATTGCATTCACATTTCCATTTCAGCAAAATTTTTAAAACTGTAAGTGCTATAATATTTTTTAAAGCCAAACAGAAAAATTAAATTTGCTTTTAGAGAAGAAAATTCATCATTCGGAGTCCAGCCAAAGCACAGAAGTTGAAGCCAGATGTGTACAAAGTGCTATAGGATGTCACATATTCATAATTTGATAAAAACAAGAGATCTTAAAAATATAGTAGAATAACTGGTATTAGATAGAAATTACCTTTTCTACCATAACAGGTAGTTATCTCGTGGTACTTAGAAATGTAGGGCTTAAACATGACTTATTTTTTTTTTTTTTTTTTTACAAAAAGTGAAGTTTCAAGTTTGTTTATCTTTCCTGTGATAATAAATAACTGTCAATAACATGGTAACTTAATACGTATTTTTAAAAGGATCATATGCAGACTTTTAATTTTCTCCTTCGAGGTAAAGGTGACATTTTAAATGAGTGAGAAAGTACCTATTCAAAGAAATCTATATTAAGAATCTTTGGTAACAACAATTTTTGGAAGATGGATGTTTGGATACATGATTTTGTTGCTAAAAATCTTGTTTTCCAAATAAGACTCGGAAACAAATTTTCTAACCTAAGTACAAAATCTCCCAAACTCAGAATTTTTAACCCATTGTTAAACATATAAACATATTCTGATTGATTTATATGAAATAATTTGCATCAAGAAAGACAGAAACTTAAGAATAAGTTGCTGAAATGAATTTGGAAGAAGAGATAATGTGTTCACTTTAGAAAGTCTTAAGTTTGAGTTGCTTAGAGACATGCCTAGTTTATATCTAATAACCAGTTGGAAACAGAATATCATGTTTAGAAGAGTCAGACCCAATGATACATTTGAGAATCAACAGTATACCTGAAAGCCAAGGGAAGAGATATGTCAAGAGCACATGATAATCCACAATGTCAAAAGTTCTAGAAAAGATTAAACTACTAGATTTGGTGATTAAGAGTTCAATAAGTTATAATTAGAGCAATGTCGTCAGAGAGATGTGGGGGAAAAGAGAATAACTATGCAATAGGGTTTAAAAAAATGTGAGTTGAAGAATGAAAAGGGAATGCAAACTCTTACAATAGTTTTAAATGACTTTACCCATCACAGAGGGAAGGCTTTGTTCTTTAGCAGCGCCTGTGTCAACAGTACATTGTTCCAATAGTTGAGTTTCCAACTCCCTGAAGGGAAAAAATTTACTGGAATTAAAATACTATAAATAACATCTTTTTCTTATTTAATACTTTTACTACCTAATGTACTTTGATGCTTTAAGTAGTTTTATCCTTAAAAGATGAATACACTAAAAGATACTGTTGAATGGAATAACGTTAAATGTCCATATTACAAATCCTTTATTGATCATTGTCAGAAAATGGCATGTTTTTGTGACACAAGTAAAGGAAATGTGCTAAATTCCAAGAAACTCACCTGTGAAGAGCTTTTCCTCCTAGGGGGAGTGCTCCCCAACAATTCAGTACTGGGATTCCTTCATAAATCTATAGTGTAGTCAAGGGTATTACTATTTTAGGAGATAAAAGTGGTTTCCTTGTTATTTTCCTTACCTTCTGCATTACTGTTCTAAATCAGAAAATTCTTACTTATTTTTAAAAGTTACAGAGAAATAGTCTTTTTCCATACTCTACTCCAAAAAAAAAAGTTAAACACACACACACACACACACACACACACACACACACACACACACAATTCATTAGTTAGTGCTGGGGTGTCCAATAAAGTAGCCACTGACCACATGTGGCTATTGAGCACCTGAAATGTGGCTAGTCTGAATTCAGATGTGCTATAAGAATAAACTTCACATCAAATTTAGAAGACTTAGCACAAAAAAAGCCCCTATAAAATATCAGATTACAATTTTTATACTGATTGTATATTCAAATAATATTTTGAATATATTAGGTTAAATAAAATATACAAATTTCATCTTATTTGCATTTTTTAAAATTGTAGCTTAGAAAAAATTTTAATTACACATATCTCACACTGTATTTCTATTAGACATAGCTGACAGGATAGTGCACAATACTGTACTGTGAGTTTGTTACCTTTTTATATATTATTTTTGCTGATGTTCTGTAGGTATATTTATGACAAGGAAAAAAGTATACTAGTAAAAGCATAGGCTTTGGAGACAAATATGGGTATATACCTTGGTTATATGACCTTGGGTCAACTATCTATCCAAACTTTCAATCTTCTCATTTATATAGTAATACTTACATTGCAGTGCTGTTACAAGACTTACACAAAATACTTTATATTTAAAAAGCTATGGCCTAATTTAGTTCCTTAGGAGCCAATGAGTCTTGATTTCCTTCCCATAAGTATTTCTTCCACTATACATATAGATCTCAAAATTCCAAGAGTCTTCCATTTACGTATTTTGACCTCCTTTTCAATGTAGCAATGCCTACTGTAATATTTCTGAGATATATTTACCTATACTGTGCTTAAATGCTTCTAATAGCAAGGAATGTACCACTGTATAGTCAATAATTCTTACTGAGCAAGTTACTATGTGCCAAGTCCTTTGGTAAAAACACTTTACAAACATTACCTCACTCAAGTCACCCAACACCCCTATGAGGGGAAATTATTATAATTCCCATTTTATAGATGAGGAAACTGAGGCCCAAAGAGATTATCCTACTCAAGCAGCATAATACTAGTAAGAAGCATAGCTGAAATTTACACTTATATGTGTATTTGATTCCAAAACCCAAACTCATAACCCCTATGCCATTTTGCCTCCATGACAGCCTCTGGAGACAGAAAAAATATGTATTCAATATTCCACAGCAAGCTGTCTAAAGACAGATTACACGTCACTATTAAGTTTTAATTTTTCTTGATTTAACTTTCTCATTTCTGTTTCTCTACTCTCCATAAGATCTTTTCTTAGAACTTGACTATTCTAGTCAACTCTTTGACATGCCTTAATTAGCTGATGTTCCTCTTAAAAACTGAACATAATATTCATGGTCTGATCCCTGAAGTATATACTGGAACTAAGTTGTAATAATAATTTCCATAAAAAATAAATTTAAGTCTTACAATTCTGTAAATTTTTTCCACATGGTAATTCATATTTGTACATGGTAATCCAAAATAGACTGATGCAATAAAAAACCATTGGTAATAAGCCTAATTATCTTAAAGAGTAGAAATTGCAAAATTAGCTGCTTCACAAAAAAGATACAGGTAACACCAGGCTTTCCCTATATCCACAATCTAGGACCATGGCAGAGTTTATCCCAAGAGTCAGAAGAGCCATCAGATGACTTGGAGCAAGCAAGACAGAGGGAACCTAGAAAACAACAAAACTAGAATGAGTGTCAGTAGTTGAGGGTGTTTCCCTCACATTTCAAATATATTTGAAAAAATTCACAGAAACGTTATATTTATTTATATTATGATACCTAGTCAACCGTTTCATCGCATTAAATTAAGAACTAATTCATTGATTTGAATTTACACATAATTAAAATATATTGTAATAAATAACAACAGTCTTTAAATTCTCTGAATTGTTTTAACCAAAATGACAATCATGAAACATTTTTATTAATTCTTGTTCTCTCTCTTTTGGAGAGAAAACTGAAAGGGATAAAAGAAGAAGTCTAGAGCGAGGTCGGGGGGATGGCGTAGATGATAGAGGCTTTGTTCATCCCTCTGGCAACAAAATCAAAATTGTGACAGAAACACGGAGCAAGCAGCAAGCAAAGTAGCCTGAAATCTAGATGAACAGAAGCATTACAACCAGAGAGAGAAATAATCAACTTCCAATGGTAAGACGTAGGACGGGCGAAGACATGACACTGCCCAGTCCCAAGTAGCTGAGTGGGACAGAGGCTGTGGCAGCAGCAGCCGGCAGCTACAGACGGGGACATGTCTGTGAGCAGACTTTCACAGTGACAGACCTGCTTGCTCTGCGCACCAGTGCTGGGTCGGCTACACGATGGAGCACCAGGGACTTACAGAGGGACAATGAGTTGTCAGAGTGTGGGCCAGAGGCAAATCTCTCTCCTGGGTAGAAGTGCCGGCGGTATGCACTGGTCCTCTGTTGAGTCCTCCCCAACCCCATGTGCAGACACAGCACTGCCATAGTTGAGACGTCATCAAACTGGGTAACAGAGAACACTCTGACTAGAGGTTTCCCTAAAGCTCCATCTTCCCCAACTCGTGGTCCCACCAAAGCCACATCCAGTTGTGTCCTCAGCAAGTCAGGTGCTCCTTGCTGAGCAGCACCAAGACTCACACTGATGGCAGCTGGCCTAGTTTCTGGAGTGGTTTCTTGAGGCAACAATAAGTACAGCATCTGTGGATTGTTTGCTGACTCTTAACAGGTGGCCCTGGAGGGGCACAAGCTGGGGCTAAACTTGGCCTGCAGCTGAACCCCTCTCAGGACTGTGCCACAGGACACATACTACACAAAGCCATGCTAATAAGACCAGGAGACTCAGGAGCTTTGCTTAGTACATAGAAAAAGACACAAAAAGGCAGCCAAAATGGGAAGACAAAGAAGCAGAAACCATAAGAGAGAATAGAACAGAGATCCAGGAATAATGGAGTCAAGCAATCTAATAGATGCAGAGTTCAAAACACTGGTTATGAACATGCTCAATGAACTTAAGACGAAGTGTAGATGAACTCGGTGAGAACTTTAACAACATAAAAATGGAAATGGAAATTATGAAAGGGAACTGGTCGGAAATGAAGAACACATTATCTGAGATGAAGATATATTAGAAGGAATAAACAGAGTGGGTAAAGAAGAGGATTAAACCATCGATATAGAGGATGAGGAAGCCGAGGACAATCAATCAGAATGGCAAGAAAAAAGAAGCCAAGACTATAATAACTATTTAAGGATCCTATGGGACACAATTAAATGTAAAAAGATTCATGTCATAGGGGTACCTGAAGGAAAACAAGAAGTTGAAAAGCTATTTGAAGAAATAATGACGGAAAACTTCCCTAACCTAGTGAAGGAAATAGACATACAACCCCAGGAAGCTCAAAAGAGAGTCCTAAAAAAGATGAACCCAAAGAGGCCTACATCAAGACTCATCATAATTAAAATGCCGAAGGTTAAATCTTAAAAGAGAAAAGCAGTTAGTTACCTACAAGGGAGCATCCCTAAGACTGGAAGCTGTTTTCTCAAAAGAAACTATGCAGAATAGAAGGGCTTGGCACAAAATATTCAACATGATGAAAACCCAGGATCTACAACCAAGAATACTTTATCCAGCAAAGCTATCATTTAGAGTCGAAGGACAGATAAAGAGCGTCCCAGACAAAAATAAGCTAAAGGAATTTATCAACACCAAACCAGCATTACAGAAAATGTTGGAGGGACTTCTTTAAGAAGAAAAACAAGGATCGAAAATATGAATAAAGAATGGTAATAACTAAATTCCTATCAACAAGTACCTCAAACGGAAAAGAATTAAGTGCTCCAACCAAAAGACAGAGAGGCTGAATAGATAAGAAAAAAGACCCCTACAAATGCTGCCTATGAGAGACTCACTTCAGATTAAAAGATATAAACAGACTAAAAGGAAGGGGATGGAAAAAGATATTACCTTCATGGACCTAGAGGGTATAGCACTGAATGAAATAAGTCAGATAGATAAAGATAAATATCGCAGGGTTTCACATACATGTGGAATCTAAAAATCAAAATCAACAACAACAATAATAACAATAGCAAAAATGGAAATCAATTCATAAATACAGAGACTATTTTGAGGGCTACTTGATAGGAGGAAGGTTGGGCGGATGGCAAAAAAGGGCAAAGGGATTAAGAAGCACAAATGGATAGTTACAAAATAGTCATGGAGATATAAAGTGTAGCATAAGAAAAAGTTAACAATGTTGTAATAAATATGTAAGAGGGGGGAGGGTTACTGGATTTAGTGGGGTGACCACTTTGCGAGTTATATGGATCTCTAATCACTATGCTGTACAACTGAAACTAATATATTATTGTATGCCAACTATAATTAGGAAAAACTGATTGAATTGTACAATGTAAATATGAGCAACCAATTGTCTATATTTCAATAAAGCTGGGGAAAAAAAAGAGGTTCAGAAACAGATTTGGAGAAAAATGCTAAACTTAATAAAGAGATGCCGTTATATCAAAATGAAAACACAGAACATACAGAAAAAGAATTCTTGTCTTTATTCACAAAGTTTGTACTATGAACTATATTTTTAAAACATTTTAAATAGCAGTTAAAATTAAATTGAAGAACTACAAAATTTTTTTAGCTTTGTGTGACATTTTTTGGTGAGAATTTGCCAGATCTGGTGACAATCCGAATATCAGATAATTAGTCAATTAAAATATGAAAGTCTATCATAACCAAATGGCAAATAAAATAATGGCTATATTTCCCCTATCTAAGTAGATATAGCAGGTATTCTAGTCATATATGAGATAAGGATACACAAACACAACTAAAACTCTAAGTATAAATATAGAGAACCATCTATTTTATTCAGATAAGAGCTGAAACAACTTCTCGTTTTATTTTGTGTTCTCCCTAATACAAACCAAATTTCTAAATCTGTGATATCAGTATATAATGGAGGATATGTAACTTGTTTCTCTGTCTTATTAAACTATAACTCAGATATATTAACTGCCCTTTTCTCTTAAGGACATTGTGATTTCTGATATATTTTGAGTTCAGTAGAATGTATGAAAAATAAATTTATATGTGCTTAATTTTTTGTACTATACACATGTTATACAATCTTCTAGTTTCTCTTGCTGAAAAATCCTAAAGCAGAAATTTTTTTAAAAATTTAAATAATATTTTCTGCATGATCTTTTTGTAGAATATGAAATGTAAAATCTTAAGTCATAATTTTGGTCTTTAAAATAATTTTGACCCCTATGAAGTGCAAGTTACAAAAAATATTACTAATATCAAGATGAAAGTTATTCCTAGCACTGCCTACTTAGTCTAAGGGAAACATCTGAATAGTCCATTTAAGAAGAACTTAAAAATCTAAAGTGAAAGAATTGAAGAATTTAGAACAATTAGCATAACTAAACAATAAAGTCTAGAAAGACCTGGAAGAAATACATCAAAAACTCAACAGCACATAATATACTCCTTAAATCTGCGGGGGAAAAAAAGTTTCCAAATAGAAAAACTTATATTAAAATAAATATATAACAGAAACATCATAAAGAAGAAATCTTCGATTATCTAAGCAGTGGATGAAAAGCAAATTATGCATGAAATAACCATACAAAGAAAGAAAATAAATGGTCAATTTGAAGAGGCTTATATTTACTCTGTTATCTGGTTCCATTAATGTACTGTGTAGTATTTACAATAAAGGAAATAAAATGAGGACCTTTTAGTTTAAGCTTTGAGTACATACCCAAAACAAGATAAAAAATAAGTACCTCAAAATATTTGAAAAGAACACGAGTGAGTGTCTCTCTGAAGTGGGAAGGACATAGTACTGACTCAATAACCACAACTCGGCGGTCTCTGGGATTCACCAACAGATGCCTGAAAAGTAAGTTTTGTTTTCAAAGCTAAATAAAAGTTTGTATTTATTTTAGTACATAATGCAATTTGTTAATAATAGAAAAACTATACTATATTAGCTTAAGATTCTCTATGGCAAAAAGACATCTTCATTTTATTACCCAGGAAAGATAACATTCCTGACCTCTTACTACATTCCATGCACTGTGTCAGGAACTTCACATCTATTAACTCATTTGTCTCAGAAAACAAAAACTACAGCCTACTATGAATACCTGGAACGATTAAGAAGACATTTATTTTTAGGTTATAAAAGTAATATATGCTCACAAAACTCCAAATATTATAGAAGTTTATAACTTGGAAAGAATAAATACCTTCCACTTCTATTATCCAGAAACTACCACTTACAGCATTTTGTATATTTTTATTATTGTATATGTCCAGGTATATATTTTAACAGAAACAGTCATTCCATAGATGTTGGTCTGCCACTTGCTTTTTTCAATTATCAATATATCTAAGACACCTTTCTGTATCAGTACATATAGATACAGAACTCTTTTTTAATGTCTGTATGTTTTGTTATACGGATGTACAACAATTTAATTATCCAGTCCCCTTTATTAATGGATATTTGATTTGTTTTCACTATCTCCTTATGCTTGCCAGTTTTCACGTCTTCAAATATATTTGGAAAAGGCTGAAAATAAGCAAGTAAAAGTAGCATTGGAAGTCAACCTTTTTTTTCTATCAGATGTAATACATCCAAATATTACTATGACTGGCATCAGGAAAATTTAATCACAAAAGCTGGGGAGAAAAACAAAGAGAATTGCATCCTACCTGAAATACAGTATGTGGATGAATTCCTTTAGGTAGGAATATAATTCTTCTGTATTGATATTATATTGAACAACTTTGATAGGCTATAAAAAATTAAAATAACATATTAATTTATAATAAAATAATCTCACATTAAAACATTTATTTTTACTAATGCACTTTCTGGTAATATATCAAAAGCAATTTGTATTGAGCATAAATGCAAATATTAAATGTTGATTAATCACTTACATTAGGAATCCTTAAGAACTGGCATGTCCAAAATGATGGCATTTTTTTGTTTGTGGGGATAAAAGTATGTCCACAAGGAAGTAAAGAGCTATACTCATTTGCATTTTTCCTCCATTAGACTTGTAATTTTGGCAGGACTGATAAAAATCAGCATCTACTCAAAAGCATCGAAGGCTTTTAATCACTCCCAAAGCATGGATACTTTTCCTTTCTTAACATTGCCCAACTTAATGACTTGTACAGTGTCTACCTTCCTGTTAGTTTGCAAGCTCCACAGGACAATAACTATTTCTGGCTTGCTTGCTTATGATATATCTTCCTTCAATTGATATGGGGCTAAGCTCAAAGTATATAGCTCATAAATATGTGTAGTAAAAATGAAAACATACACCATTAGCACTAAAGCAGTATATGCAAACACTACCAAACCAACAGTACAAGTCAAAAATAATATATAACAAGAGCTTTACTTATAATCTTCAGAAAGCTATAAGTACTCTGATGCATCACTGTCAGACTCTCTTCATTTACTCTTTTAAAGGAAAGACCATCAGCTTTCCTGATTTTATGTAGCTTCGAGAAGGTTCCCAATCATGCATAGCTGAATATAGATTAATCTTTACATATATCTGTCTTTTTAAGATAAAGAGTTGAAATCTCTAAGAAAAGTGCCAATAAGAATGCAAAAGTTTTAAGTCCAGTCAGGATCGATCTAGTAATCTACCTACTAACACAGTAACGCCAATGACTATAAAGCAAAACGAGAACAATGAAGACAGGAACTTCCGTCACACCTTGAATACCATACTACAAATATCTACTATATTTCTGGCTTGTCTAGGATTTGCAGAAAATTTTGAAATCAGTTAAGATGATTTCCTAATCAAGCATAATTAAAAAGATTTCTGATAATATATTTCATATGTTGATCTTAATGATGCATCCCAATACCAAATATAAAAACATGTACTAGTCTCTTCTGCTACATGTGCTTTTATAAAACAAAATATTCTCATATTCAGTTGTTAAATAAGGGAATATTGCCTGTATTAATGTGAAATTTGTATTAGTTCATATGAGGAAAGACGAGCTAAAATTATAACAGTGACTGCCTTCATCAAGAAAAAGAAAGTCATCACCTCTGTGGCTGGACAGATAGCATCCTTTCAGATCTATTTTTAAAAGTTTATATGACCCTATGTACCAGAGGCTCCCTTCCCAGAGGGACCCTTTCATAACTATTGGGCTGAATTTACTCTTGGTCCAACCTTTACAATAGGCACACTGGCTGGCTCAGAGCTCACTTCCATCTGCATTGTCTTAGCACCCACTGACGAACATTTTCAATCCATTATTTCATTTTATTTAAGAAATATCCTCAAGAGAGCCTCTAGCCACATTCAGTTGCAAGCCAAAGCTATTCCAATTTTTTTCCTGACAGATCAATTATTGTTTTTGCTAGCATTCTGATTACAAAGTTATATGGGTTTTATGTGGTCTGCTCCAATGCTAGTTTTTCCAAAAGCCTGTTTTTATGATCAAAGTTAGGTTTTTCAAGAATGCAAATATGCATTCTTGAAAATGCAAAAAAAGTTACAGTAGAAACATCTTTTTTTTTTTTTTAGGCGAGGCAACCCTGGGTTGACCTCAAGGATTGCAAGGACCTTGTCGGCTTACAATCCTTATTTTATTATTTTTTATGCCTACAGCATCTGGTCTTCCTAGGTGACATCTGATTTTAATAGGTGAATTTTATGGCATTCAAAATTACTGTTGTTCTATAATTCCTAATCTGTCAAATTAGCTTTGAAAAGAAACTATCTTTTAAAAAATGTTTTTCATAGTTCTTTGGATTCTGGAATTACAGATAAAGGACTGAAGACCTGGCTTATATTTTGAAAAGGGTCAGAAAAAGTTATTCTATGTTATAAAGCTCAGAAAATTATTTTACTAAGATTAAAAATTTTCTCTTGATATTATAATTCCATCTACATAAAATATACAGCAAAGGCAAATCTTTAGAGACAGAAAGAATATGAGTGGTATGCTGGAGGTAGGATTGGGGATTAACTGTAAACGGGCATTAGAGATCTTATTGGGATGACAAAAATGTGTTAAAACTGGACTGTGGTGATGGTTACAGAACTTAATATATTTACTAAAAATCACAGAATTATGTACACTTAAAACAGGTGAATTTTATGGTATGAAAACAAACAATAAAGACTAGAAAATTTTTTCTTGGGCTATAGTCATAAGTTATATATTCAGTATTATTCTAAATTATCTTATTTGAAGTCACATTTTAAAACATTTTACAGTACAGTATTTATTTTGCTAATTTGTTTTAAAAAATACCTTAGGCAAGCCAACTTTTTTTATCACACTAGGAATTATGCATCTTGGACTAGTTTCTCCAGCAAATCCACACCTGCAAATAAATATAAAATTGAAATACTCATAACATTTTATATATGTCACAGAAACAAGTTTTTCTGTATCTGTTTAAAAGTAGTAGTCACAAAAACAACTGGAAACATCTCTGATGCATTCAAAGAGACAAAAAAAAACCCTAAGGAAAAGTTAATACCACTTACTCATAACTGTCTATCAAAGGTAAAAAACAATGTTTCAAATTAGCAATACTGACATAAAGCCGGATACTGTTTTAGGGCATTTATTTATTTCCAGTTTTTAATTCACCTGAATTTTATTTTTTCCCTCTTTAATTAGCTCCCTTCTCCCCGCCCCACCACCACCCCGCGCACTTCCACCCCTGACCCATGGATGTTGCCATTTCTCCTTAAGAACTGGATCTCTGAAGGTGGGTGTCTCCTCCCACACGCTCGCAGCATGCACCCGGGGCCTGGTACACCCAGGGCCTGGCACCCCGGGCACACTCAAGGGGCCTGGCGCACCCAGGGGTATGGTCCATGGCTCCACCTGGTGCGCAAACCAGGACCTTCTGCGTGTAAAGCAGACGTGCTAACCACTACACTATGGAGCCACCCTCACCTGAATTTTAGGCAACACGTCTCACAATCCTGGCTCTATACTATATCATGTCACTTAATTCATATAAGTTACTCATAAGTCCATCATTCTAATATACTAGCTTCTATATTGACGTTTCCTTTCAGTCTATTTTTTAAATTATGCATATTTAACATAGTTATAATCACAGTACATACATCATGAACTCATATAAGCTTCTACCCACATTACAGTCTTCATGGCTATCATTTTAAAAACTGCATATTTCATCCTTTTAAAAAACTTTTCTCTCTTGAGTATTTAGATATTTCCATTTGTTTCATGTTAGTAAAATAAAATTTTGCTTAAAATGTTGCTAAAAAACGATCACCAGTTTAGTCTTAACATTATCTTTTCTTGTCCTGTCTAGTTTTCAGTACTGCTCTTCTCCTATTACCAGATAGCTCGCTCCATCTTCTACTAGTCACATTTCCATGTTTACGTGTACAGTGCACCTCAAATTTCCTAGGATGCAATTCACTCACCAACTTCGATTCCTCTTTTACTTCATAAATTTGACTTATCCCCCTCCTGTTGTCTTTGTCAATAATCATCTTCCTCTATGGTAGCTTTCTGCTTCTCAGTTTCTCAACATAGCCAATGTAATTATCTCTGAGTGTCAGCCTAAAGGCATTTACTATGCTACTGAAATAAACCTTTAAACATAAATAAGAAAATACAAATAAGGGAAGATCTTGCATAGAACAGTAAGTGAATGTTATGAACCAAGGACTATGTTTAATTCAATTCCGGTGCACCTGAGTTCCAATTCGTAAACAGGCTCTTTTGACCACTTATTCAACAAAGTTATTAAATACCTACTGTATGATAAACATTATTTTGATTTTATATATTTTCAAATGTTTCTATTTCAAATATATTTAAGATGAAATTTTAGCTGTCACTTTCTCTCTCTTGAGCCTAGTACAAGGGCTCTCAACCTGGAGTCCAAGGACCACTATGATGGTCCGCCAATCCCTGATTCTGTGCAAATATATTAAGGTTTGTGTATACGTGGCTTTCATTCAGTCGTCAAAAGAATCTACGCCATACGTTTGTCGCCGTTTGAAACATGTTAAATTTCCTAATCTAAGAGTCTGGGGTGGTCTGGGGGGGCACAATCTCCTGAGTCTCATCTATGGAGTTTCACTTCTTAATGTGTTTAGTCTCCCTAATTTGGCTTCCTACTACTCTTGGAGAGCAATGGCCACATCTTAAAACATATCTGGATTTCCAGCACCAACAGAAGCTCCATTCGGTGTTTAATGATGAAGATCGTCATCTGGCGTTACAATTCGTTGCTGGCTTCCTAAGCCGCCAACCCTAGAGAAAGCAGGGTCCAGGTCATCGCTGTCACTCCCTGCATTGGTGACCCCAAAGGGTCTGGTCGGTTTGGAGTAACAACCCGAAGCGGCGGCGAAGGCAATTCTCCCGAATCTTCTGGGCCTCCCTAGGATTCAGAACTTGACCTCATCGCCAGATCCTCGGGAATCGCATCGCCCACGTTGGACATAATAGGGGCCATCATTTGAGGAGGTGCTGGAGTGGGGAAAGTGGAGACGCTTGCCCCGCGAACCTGAGATGAGGATTGGATTTCGGCCACCCGCCCTACCCTGGGGACGACCGCAGCCGGCGCCCCGGCCACTCACTTGGTAAAGGCCTCTCCCAGGTCTATCACGACCGCCGTTTTCTCGCCGCCGCTCCCCAGGCCCTCGTACAGCGGCATGGTAGTAAACCAGGCCGTCTACCAGGCCGTAAGAAATGGATCGCGGACGCCGAAGCCGACGGACCTCGGCTCTTAGGGGGCGCGGCCAGCGACGGGGCGACGGCGAGCCGGTGGTGGCGTCGGCGGGGGCTTCACGTGGCCGCGGCGCGTCGGCCCTGGGCTGTCCTAGGCTGTGCCTCACTCCGCATCGGACGCACATTCTCTTAGGCATTCCCGTCCCGGGAACTAGGGGAGAGGAGATGTGCGGGCCGCCGCTAATCTGGACGCGGGGAGTGCGGGCGACGAGGTGGGCGGAAGCGATCAGGCGCATCGGCCTCCCTAAGTGGGGCGGAGCCGACCTCTGGTCCTTCCCGCCGGACACGCCCCCAAGTGACAATTGCGTTTAAGGTTTTCCCTGCTTGCCTGTGGAGACCTCTCTGGTCACCGGGAGGGCACTGGTGGAAGACGAAAGCACAAAAATTTTGATTTATGCAGTCTTGGGGCAACATTTGCTGTGTCAGGTTATGCTTATCACTTATGCTTCTCAAGAAATACAGAGAATAGGTGTTATCTTCCTACCTGTGCGAACCGATGCTCAACAGAGATAAACGTTGGCAGTGCCCCAACAGCAAAGCCAGGATTGGACTCCAAGACTTAGTGGTTTCAAAGCCTGTACTATTTTTGCTTTAGAAAAATAATACGTACAGACTTTTATTTGGTAGTCATTCCGCTGAAAGTTTTCATTTTAATCCAAAAAAAAAAAAGCAATTAAAATAGCATCTACGAATCTATGTATTAACAGTCGAGGTGGTTTAATGGAAAGAACACTGGACCAAGGATTCCTGTTTAACTGAGGAGCTGTGTAACCGGAGAAAATTGAGTAACTCTGTGCCAGTATGCGCACACAGTAGGAATTCTATAATGTAGATGGTTTACAACTTTATCATTTCATAGTTCTATTTTTTTTCTGCTGGAATTGCCATGGAAACGAATTATTGGGCTAGGTCTCTGCCTTGTCTCTAAGACTGTAGGAAGAGGAATGACTTGTTTTTTTTCCAGTATGTCTGTCTTACCTTCTGTAGATACCTGAACTTCCCTACAAGGGTAAGGTCTTAACAGAATAAGAGTTAAGGTCGGACACTGCATAAGTTTGGACAATGTGATGTTAGTAGAATTCACTGATCATCTTCCTGAAAGCAAGTTGCCAGAGGTAAGAGGATAAAGTTGGAATGGCAATGGGGAAGGAAACTTCAAAAAGAGTGGATGAAGATGAAACATTTTGCTTAATAGAGTAAGAGTGTTTGAACAAGACCCTTCACTAGGATTCAAATTCTATTTCTCCACCTTCTGGCAAGTCTCTAATACTTCCGAACATCCATTTTCATATCTGCAAACTGTCACATCTCAGAAGGCAGTTTGAGGATCAATTGAGATTAAATTTGTGAAACAATTTTGAAACTACAGCATGTTATTATTACCTATCCTGTGTTTTTCATGACTATTAGTTTTCTAGGGATGTTGTAATAAAGTATAGGAAACTAGATGGCTTAAAACAAATATATTCTCTTAGAGTTCTAGAGGCTAGAAGTCCTAGATTAAGGTGTTAGCAGGCAAGGTCATGCTCTCTCTGAAGGCTCTAGGAGAGGATTCTTCTTTGCCTCTTTCTAGCTGCTAATGGTTGCTGGCAATCCTGGGTGTTCCTTGTCTTGTACATGCATTACTAAAGTCTGTGTCTCCATCACCTGGCTTTCCCTGTGTCTCTCTTCATATGATGTTCTCTTCCCCATGTTTTTTTCACATTTTCCTTTGTGCATCTCTCTGTGTCTAAATTTCTTCTTATAAGAATACCAATTATTGGATTAGGGCCCTAATCTTAACCCATTATGTTCTCATCCTAACTTGATTAATCTATGAAGACCCTAAATCCAAATAAGGTCACATTCTAAGGTTCCCATTGGGCACAAATTTTAGGGGAATATTACTCAATGCAGCACACCAGCTAAATAAATGTTGGTGTGCTCCACGATTCTGCCTTTAGAGCTTTTCTTCTTACTATATACCCTCTCCTTTGAGAATCTCTTTCACTCCCATACATACAGCAAGAGCTAGTATTTGAGTTCTATTTGCTAGCTCTGTTGGCTTTATATAATCACATTTATTTCTTGCCTTAGCTTTATGAGTTAAGTATTATCTCCATTTTACAAATGAAGATACTGAGGCCAAGAAAGTTTAAATTATGTGCACAAGGCCTCTCAGCTCTTAGTGGGAGAGCAGGAATTCAAAACCAGAGAGTCCAACTCCAGAGCCCAAACTACACTGTGTTAATTAGGAAGTAGTTATACGTTGTACATTAGTCCACATAATTATATTTTATCGTAGAATTTTACAATCTTAGTATATGAAGTGATATAAGAGGTTTTCAAGTCTAAATCTAACCCAATACTACCCAAGACTTTTCCATTGATCACTGATGATAGTTGTCTCTCCAAACATTTCCAGTGAAGAGAGGACTCATAACTAATTGTACTCCACAAGATACTGAAAATGTGATTGCTAATACAATTTATTTTTTAAGAAAAAAATGCTATAAGGATAAGAATCATTTTTAAATAAGCAGTCTTCTAGCAGTTTGGTTCAATGGACCTGAGTTTAAGTCCTAATTCTGTTAGCTGACTGACCTCAGGCAACTCCATTAAACCCTGGTCTCAGTTTCCTCTTTCATAGAATAGAAGAAGATATACAAGCACTAATAATCTAAACTAGGTTGAATTGGAATCTATATTCCTTTAGCTAACACTTTTTATTCTCCGCCACCCTCCAAGCT